AAAAAAAAAAAAAAAAAAAAAAGAGTAACCTGAAGGGCACTATCAAGAGTGTGAAAGGGGAACGAGACCAGGAGAAAGTATTTGCAAATAATTTACCTGATAAGAATAATAGAGATTTATATCCAGAATATACAGAGAACTTCTACAGCTCAACCACAGAAGAACCAGACAACCCAAATAAAAGATGAGCAAAGAACGTCAATAGACATTTCTCCAAAGAAGGTATATAATTGGCCAATGAATTTATGAAATGATGCTTGAAATCGTTAGTCGTTAGAGAAGTGCAAGTTAAGACCCTAGGGAGATACCACTTTACGCTCACTAGGTCAGCTATTATTTAAAACAAAAAAAGGAAAATAAGGGTTGTTGAAGATGTGGATAAATTAAAACCATCGTGCATCACTGGTGGGAATGTAAAATGGTGCAGCCACTGTGGAAAACAATTTGACAGTTTCTCAGAAAGTTAAACAGAATTACCATATGACCCAACACTTACCCCCTAGGTATACACCTAAAAGAATTGAAAGCCAGGACAGAAGCAGACATATGTATACTAATATTCATAGCAGTATTATTCACAATACCCAAAAGGTGTAGACAACCCAAATGTCCGTCAGCAGATGAATAGGTAAACAGCATGTGGTATATACGTAGAATAGAATATTAGTCATGAAAAACAAAGTTCTGCTATATACCATAGCATAGAAGAATCTTGAGCACATTAAAACTTGCTAACTGAAATAAACCAGACAAAAAAAAGGACAAAAATTTTGTAGTTGCACTTACATGAGTTATTTAAAATAGGTAAAATTTAGAGACAGGAAATAGAATAGAGGTTGCAGGGGATTGCAGTAGGGGGTAATGGTGAGTTAATGTTTGATGTGTACAGAATTTGAGATGATAAAAAAAGTTCTGGAAACGGCGATGGTTGCACATTGTTGTGAATGTGCTTAATTCCACAAAATTGTACACTCAAAAACTGTTAGTATGTTAAACTTTGTTTTGCCATTAAAAAATGTTTTAGCAAAGTCTATCTCCTGGCTTCCCATTCTGTCCTCCCTCATAGTATTGGGTCTTTGACTTTCTTGTCAAGGTTCATCCTAACTATACTATAATTTTTGTACTATTCTGAATAACATTTTTTTAAATTATGAGGATAGTTTTTGTATCAAGAAAATTTTATCCCAACACGAGGTTTTAAAAAAAAAAATTCTAGACCTTTAAAAATGTGAATCTTTCAGTTTTCTTTAAGCCATATAATCATGTCATCAGCTAAAGAGGTTTTATCTGTTATGTTTAATCTTATTATTTCAGTCTGCTTGTCTTCGATAGAATCTGAGTCAGTGTTGTCTAATAATGATGATAGTAGTTATCCATGTCTATTCTATGATTTTAAACGAAATTATATTAGTACTGTGACACTTAATAATTGTGGGTAGTTTGGGGTAAATGTAGTTTATGTCTTTTATTTCTTTTTCTTACCATCATTAGCTAGCACTTGAGTACTGTGTTAAATAACAGTGATGGGTCCAAGCACCATAGCTTAGACCTATAGTTCCAGCACTTTGGGAATCTGAGGTAGGAGTATCACTTGAGGTCAGATGTTTGAGATCAGCCTGGGCAATGTAGTGAGAACTTGTCTCTACAAAAAAACCCATAAAAATTTAGCCTGTGCAGTGACACATGCTTGTAGTCCTGCCTTCTTGGGAGGCTGAGGCTGGAGAATCACTGGAGCCCAAAAGGTTGAGGATGCAGTGAGCTGTGATAATGCCACTGCACTCCAGCCTGGGTACAGAGTCAGACCCTGTCTCAAAAAAAAAAAGATGAGATGAAAATTCTAGCCTTGTTCCTGCTCTTAGAAAGCATTCAGCCTTTCACATTAAGTATATGATGTTAACTGTAAGCTGTAAGTTTTTAATAGGTGTTTTTTAGGGTTTGGAGATTTTCTATTTGCCAGTATGCTGAGATTTTTTAAAATCATGAGTAATGTGAATTTTGTCAGATGGATTTGTTGCATAAATCCATATGATTTTTCTTCTTTAATCTATTGATATGGTGGCTTATACAGATTGATTTTTGAATATTTAACCAGCCTTGCATAAAGTTCCCATGTGGTCACGGTGTACTGTTGATTTGAGGCCTTTCTCCTTTTCAAATGTATTCATTTGGCACAAATTTCCCCCTTAGCACTGTTGTAGCTGCATTCTACAGGTTTTGATGTGTTGTGTTTTCTGTTCATTTCACTTATTTTGGTGTATTTTTAAATATCCTTTCAGACTTTAACCTATTTGGTTTTTTTTTTTAAGTGTGTTAATTTTCTAATGTTTGCCACTTTCATATTATTTTTTCCTTAATTTCTGATTTTGATTCCTTTGTGACACAGTATACACGGTGTAATTTCAGGTTTTTTACATTTATGAAGATTTGTTTTATGACCCCAAGATATTGCCTGTCTTTATGAATGATTCATGGGTACCTGAAAAAAAAATGTATTCTGTTGTTGACTGTAGTTATCTAAAAATGTCAGTGATTCTTCATTATTACTATTTTTTCTACATTGTTGGATGTGATTTTTTAAAATTTTGTTTAGGATTTTTGTATATAAGGAGAGGTTGGTTTCTACTTTTTTTTTAAATGCTGTGTTTGTATGGTTTTGGTATCAAATAATATTTGCCTTATTAAATAAGTTGGAAATTATTCCCTTTTCTAATTTTTGGAAGGGACTCTGTTAAAATGGTGTTAATTCTTTAACTATTTGGTTTAACATTCTCCAATGAAATCATCTGGTTCCGGAGATTTTTTTTTCCATGAAGTTTTAAGTAACAAAATTAATTCTTTAATAGTTACAGGACTATTTCGGTTATTATTTTCGTTGTTGGCAAATTTTGGTAGTTTGTGTTTTCTGAGGTTTTGGTCCATTTTTTATAATCATCTGTCAAGTTGATAGGCATAAAGTTGTTCATAGCATTACCCTACTTATTTATGTATTTATTTTTTTAACTTTAAGTTCTGGGATACATATGCTGAACATGCAGGTTTATATAGGTATACCTGTGCCATGGTGGTTTGCTGCACTTGTCAACCTGTCATCTAGGCTTTAAGCCCCAGATGCACTAGGTATTTGCCCTAATGCTGTCTCTTACTTTTTTCCCTTCCCCTAACAGGTCCTAGTATGTGATGTTCCCCTTCCTGTGTCCATATGTTCTCATTTTTCTACTTCCACTTATGAGTGAGAACACATGGTGTTTGGTTTTCTGTTCCTG